TGTCTCTCTGTCTGTCTGTCTCTCTGTCTCTCTGTCTCTCTGTCTGTTTGTCTCTCTCTCTGTCTGTCTCTCTGTCTCTCTCTCTGTCTCTCTCTCTGTCTCTCTGTCTCTCTGTCTGTCTCTCTGTCTGTCTGTCTGTCTGTCTCTCTGTCTGTCTGTCTGTCTGTCTCTCTGTCTCTCTGTCTGTCTCTCTGTCTGTCTGTCTCTCTGTCTCTCTGTCTGTTTGTCTCTCTGTCTGTCTCTCGTCTGCTGACAATTATTTTTATCGCGCGTTAACACATTTTAAAAAATATATATTATTATTTTGAAAGTCTGTTCCGGAGAATGAAGTTAAGCTAAGTACATACAGTACATACTCGTATATATATTAGGACTGCCTGTGTTTACTTTAATGCTTTCACATGTTCACTTCTCGTGAGCAGAACACAAGTTTACCAGCTGATCCCCTGATTCAGAGACACAGTCCACCTCTAAATATAATACACATGAATATAACTTCATGTCTCCTCACCTCGCTGTCTTACTGTCTATCTGTTCCCATCACTGTCTGAGTTAACTGGACTGTACTCAACCCTTCCTGCTCGATAGTGAGAAACTATCGGCCGTGTGTGTGTGTGTGTGCGTGTGTGTGTGTGTGTGTGTGCGCGTCTCTCACCCCGAGGGCTCGGTCCGTTTTGTACTGGAGGAAGGCGTTGACGGTTCCTTTCTTCGCCATGCGGATCCGAGCCATGCGCACTTTCTATTGGACAGAAAACACACAGGAAAACAGCACCGTCAGCATTAAACACACACACACACACACACACACACACACACACACACACACAGTGTACAGGAGCATTAAGGTTAAAGTGAGGACGATCAGACTCCATCTATCGTCTGTATGAAGGCTGATATTGTCTCGTCTGATTAGACAGGATGAGCGGGTGAAGATGAAGATGATGATGATGAAAGGCCATTAACATGTCAAAGGTTTTCTGTTGGTCTGCAGTATTTTCTTTGTTGGAAAAAGTCTCTCAGATTCTGTGTAGCTGATGAATAACAACCAAAACACATATAACTAAATGTATTAGTAGATTTAAACTACTGTAGTCAAGTCATTTTGTTTAGTTAACATTTGTTTATTCACAGATGGTTTTGTTTTAGCTGCTAAAAATTGAAATCATGTGAAACTACTGTTTATTTTTGGGAAATATATTTATAAATAAAAAATATTTTTGAAACGATGTACTTTTTGTAACGTTTATGTTTCCTAAACCAAACTGTGAAACACATTTGATATGATTTTTCATGTATTGTTGTATTTTTACATCATTGTCCCTGATATATATATCTATATCTTTAAGTATTTATTTTTAGTACTATTTATAATATTTCAAGTATATATTCTATATGCGGTCCGATTAATATGCTCACTAAAATTGTTTTAAAAAGGTTGCTTAGACTTTTTAATTTTTATTTTAATCAAATCCATAAACTTCAGTTTTGCATGTTAGCGTACAGAACTTTGTGTGTTATCATGCTAACTGTAGCTTTAACAGCTACTGCCGATGTGTAGATCCTTAAGACTTATATTACTAACTTTAATTAAGTTCATTTAATAAGGTTAGTAACAATGAACAATGACGTAGAATCAGCTAGAAGAGACAGTTTGTGGCTGTAAACCGACCTGCTGCGCTCTCATCTTGTCCGCTCTCTGGTTCTGGTGGTAGATCCGGCTGAAATTGGACACGATGACGGGCACCGGCAGAGCGATCACCAGAACGCCGCTGAGCGAGCAGATGGAGCCGAAGATCTTCCCCGCGATGGTGTTGGGAACCATGTCGCCGTACCTTTAAGAAACACAGTCACATCGTCGGTCAACGGGTTGATCAGAAACCTCTCCAATGTGTTTTAATGATGTTCATTTCAATATTTCTGACCGTTGACTTTAGGCGACATGCTATCGAGGTGTTGGTAGATGCTGACTACATGTTGGTTTCTTTGGGAACAGAATCTCTTTTATTGGACAAGTTGGTGTGCACCAACAAACAACTTGACTCTCTTTATTTCATTGTTTGTATTTTGCATGCTGTTTGTAAAGAACAGAACTGTAGTGAACAAATAGCTGTAAATATTAATATTATATAGATGTAGATTAAAAAAAGCACCAATGACCAACAATAAAATCATAAATAAAACATCTATATACAGTTGGAAATAATGAAAGTTAGTATTAAATACTGAACGGATAAACATGGATTTGATGATTATTTACAGAGTGTACATGATACTGTCTGTACAGCATCTGATTTATATTTATTGTTATTGTGCATTGAAACTGAAGAAGACTGTCATGTTGAAAATTAAATCGTTAAATCATTTGTTTGTGCGTCCCGGCTATGAGTTATAATCTATAACAGCAGAAGTGACGGTGGCACATTTACAAATGATGTTTCTGTAAAAAGGAAACTTGACCTCTCTCAACCAATCAGCTTCTCCCAAATGTGTTTGTAGGAGACGAAGCGTTTCAGTGAGAGTCCAGAGCATGAACACTCTATTGACTATTGATTACAATCTGCCTTCTGACCGTCAAACTTCATTTATGAAGCTTTAAGTTGTTCTACGTTGTCACATCTCTGATGTATATAAATATATTTGTAAATATGTAAACACAGCTGATGGAAGAAAAAATCAGCTGAACAGTTTTTCATGAAGTACAATTTACTTCAGTTGGATCTGTAAAAGAACTACAGAACAAAAACAGGCCAAAGAAGAACACAGACAGACGGACAAATAATAGGTAGATAATAATTGTAAATGCGGGACAATATGTTTCTGTCTCCCTGCTGCAAGGCTGCTGTTGCAAACACACACACACACACACACAGGTTGCCGGTTGTTGCCTCATGCGGCCTCTTCACCTCTCATCGTATGGAGCCATTAATCACAGGTAGTGAGACGAGGAGGAGGAAGAGGAGGAGATTAGAGAGTGGGCAGGAGGGCAGGACGGTTTGTGTGAGAGGAAACACTAAACAGAAACTACTTCATTTTATGATTTTATCTTTGTTTGATGTTCAGCTGCTCATTTTGTTTAATGTTCAAACTCTTCTTTATATTCACATTACATTCAGATAATATTCAAAACATATTACATCTACAGTGGATATCAAGCATATCGTTAAAAAAGACTCGGTTACAGGTGAAGAACTTAATACCACACTGTGAAAATACTCCACTACAAGTACAAATCGTGCGTTCAAGTCCTCCCTGAAGTAAAAGTACATTATTATTATCAGCTAAATGTAGTTAAAGTAGTAAAAGTACAATATCTTGTTTTAACTGCAGTATATGAACCGTTTTAACTTTGTATGAATGAAATAATTCTACTTTCTCGGCTGGTGTCTGTCTCACTGTGGAATTAAACTCTCTTCATTGAAATATGTAAATGACGTGTGACTGTACAGTGAATCAGATATGCAGGTAATGAAGTACCTGCTGCAGAGGATTACGTCTGAGTCCTTCAGAGATGAGGCCGCGACCCCGTCTGCTGCGTTAATGCTCATATCTGAATATCTCACAGGTCGTTTACTTTCTCTTTTCTCTTTTTTACTTTGAAGGTACAGTAATGTCAGAGCTGTGAACATGTGTTTTCTCCTGAAGCTCCTGTCGTTTAAAGCAGAATGTTGTAGTTCTTCTTTTAATAAATTCAAACTGTTCAATGTATTTATTAACATCATGCATTACATTTAAACTGACAGGGGTTATTCTCTGCTGATGGATTTGTTTTTTTAGGTCTGACCAAGTCCTCCAAACTTCAGTTTATATTTTATATTTCCATTTCTAATACATTTTATTTATTCTCTGTGCCTTTGAGCAAGGCACTAAACCCTCGACTGGCCACTCGCTGGTTCCCAACATCAACAAAACATGATTAACAACACGTTTAAATACAAACAACCAGTCTACTGACATGGCATTTATACACAAGTATATATGGTCACATGAAAAAGAAAATTAAAAACGCTCTATAATATATAGTCCATTTAGAGTCACACAGACCATAAAGCAGGGGATGCTTTAGGGC